GATTCTCCAGTTGCTAAATACCTACGAAAATCAGATTTATTTTTACAGTATGATTACTTAAGTATCTAAAGTAACTAAGTGCATCCACAAATTTGTAAATGTATAATAGACAATTTTAAATAAAGACGGATTATTAATTATTATTACTAACTAGAATCATTAGAATACAATTTAAACAGTATTATTTTTTACACACTCCAGTGTGTCACATATTTTTGTATTTAATTTGTTATCNATGAAAGTTAGTAAATTAATATTGTTCACTGGTCATTATGGACTCTGCAAAGCAGATAAACCCTGTGCGTACTTGTGAGTTGTGACTTCCAGTACCATGTTCTAATCTTATAATATAATCGTTGTCGTGTTCCAGTATGTTTGAGGAGTAAGTGTAAATTTAAATTTATCTTACAGACTCCATTATTGGAAGACACAGATCATGACCTTGTGTTAGTTGTGTACTTATGCATCGAGTTAGTTGCATCATAGCTGTGACCTCCAGTGTGCAATGAAAGTCTAATTGAATGAATATTTATTTTATTTTAATATAATGAATGTGGTAAAATAATATTGTTCACTGGTCATTATGGAATGTGCAAAGCAGATTAACATTTATTGGCTGTATAAAACATAAATTGAAATGTATCTTAAATACTCCATCATTGGAAGACACAGCACTGTATATCATGTCTGAAATGTATTCACTTATACATCGATCACAATAGCCAATACACATTACAGTTGTGACCTCCATTGTGCAATGAAAGTTGTAATTTAATTAATACTTATTTTATGTCAGTATTATATAAACAATTGTTTAAAATATTTTTCATAGGTCCTTATGGACTCTAAAAATCAGATGCACACTTTATGTACTTGTGACTTCCGAAGCAGAAAAATAATTCCGAATTTATTATCGTGTTTCGTGAAGTCTTAATATTATGAGTGTAAGATCAATGTAACTTGTAGACTCCAGTGTTGGAGGACTTAAGGACATAATATGCATGTAGTGTGTAATGCGTTTTGACGATGGAAATACATATTTATTTATGATATTTTATTTATACACTAGAGGATATAAAATGTATAGAAGTCTTCCGTAAAGTATCCGCTAGAAACTATTTTGACACACTTTATGCACTGTCGTAAGTATATATACGCTGATCGCTTCCTTTGTACACCACTAACCTAATACGGTACGGTTTTCTAGACGCGACTTTCGCCACGACTAACGCTGCGTGGCTTTATATTATGGTTTTTTTACTGTGTGGTTTCCTAGACTCTTTCTTTGCATCCAATGTTAATTTTATAATAATTCCTATGTAGCTGTATGAAATTTGGAATGAAAAATCTAACGATCTGAACGATTCTCCAGTTGCTAAATACCTACGAAAATCAGATTTATTTTTACAGTATGATTACTTAAGTATCTAAAGTAACTAAGTGCATCCACAAATTTGTAAATGTATAATAGACAATTTTAAATAAAGACGGATTATTAATTATTATTACTAACTAGAATCATTAGAATACAATTTAAACAGTATTATTTTTTACACACTCCAGTGTGTCACATATTTTTGTATTTAATTTGTTATCTTATCGCATATTTTGTAGTAGCGTAGTAAATAGTAATAGTAATAGTAATAGTAATACTACGTGTAGTTATAGTATTACGTAGACTATTTATAAACTTATTTATAAGTCTCGCTTAGCGATAACGACGGTGGCCGGTTGGAGTTCGTGTTTTTTTTTTTTATTGTCTGTTTATATTTTGTTTCTTTATTAATTATTGCATCTAAATATTTTATAATAATTTTTTATAGATCACAAAATAGTGTTCGGATGACAAAAGTACTTATTCCTACACAGGCACGTCGCTAGGTCACAATCATTAAAGGACCATGAAAGGAATAAAAATCATTTATTTTATTTTAACGAAATCAAATAATGTATGAAAAATAAAAATGTTCAGTTTTTGTGATTGATTATTGTGTAGGTACTACTACTTACTAGGTAGTGTCGCGTGCCCGTAAGTAATATAAGTATTATAAATTTATAACGGCGTAGTGGTTGACGGGCGGCTCACCAGTGACGTCACACGTAAAACAAAACTGATGAATTTACGCGGAACCCATGGTCAGATAAAAATAAATTTTGAAACTACCTACATTTTTTATTTTTCACGCAATATTTGATTTTGTTATAACTTATAATAAAATAATTTTTTTTTTGTTTTATAGTCCTTTAGGGCGGCATACGATTTTAAAAAAAAATGTATGGAGGCAAAATTAAATGTATATCGCTATTTTTTGGTAGCTCTCCGACCAGTCATGTTGAGAATAACCATACCTCTAAACTCACATAATAATTTACAGGTAACCATAGTCGAACATAGTCTCTGTGTATTCAAAATATAAGTGGTATTATGATTTATGATTAGCCCGCAGCCTCGGTTACGGAACATTCAACAACAAAACACGTCATATTCAGTTGTTGTGAAGTTTAATTTTTGTTATGAAAGGGAGAGTCATACATAAGTCACCTACCCAATAAAAATACAAAATTTATTGTGAATTCCATGTACCAAAAATAATTCATAGAATTTATTATCATCGTTTGTTATGATACCCCAAATTATAGACAATATACTTAAATACTTAATGCTTGTTATGTGTTTTGTATTTTTAATAAATTATTTTTATGTCTCCAAAACCATATAATTATTCATAGCACACATTGCTTGTGATCTCAGATACTGGAGTCTTCAATGGTGGTTGATTGACTAATATTGTTACGTGATGAAGAAACAAAAGGTAACACTTGTATTTGTGTCGGAGAACTCCACAATGATAATATTATTTGAGATTAATATATAAGCAGTTAAATTTCTGAAAAATCATGTGTGCTTATGCCTAGTTGTATATTTTATGCTTGGAGGTCGGATTAGCGCTACTTGACGGAAATGTGTTATTACAAAAGGTGGAGGTTGTATTAGCGTTTATTTTTGAAACTCCCATAAACGCGAGTAAATCTCAAAGTCTTGCGCCGCCTATAGTCGAAAATTAGTACTAAATTACACACTAACCGATACACAATTTTTGTATATAAAGGGTCTTATGAACTCAACTTGTTTTCTTCCACAAATGTAATATTTATAGTCAGAAATTACCAAAATCACTGATATCTAAAAAAATATTTGTGACCTCCGTGTTTTGGAGGTGACAAAGTCACTTGGAAGTCACAATGCCGGCTTGTATCTCTATTCTAGAGGTCACAACATACGCTGTACACACACACACACACACACACACACACACACACACACACACACACACACACTTTTTAAATATAAATTGAATTGTAACTTTATTCTATATATTAGCACACAGAATCATACAAGGATATTTTTGCTGAATTAATTTCGAAAGGAAGTTTTGAAAATAACGCAAGCAATTCTTTAACAATGATGGAGGGAAATAATTCATTTACTTTCCGGTGTCCTATTGCACCATAGTGTGAGGACTACTGGGTTATTCAACACTACAAAGTCAAAACAATTGAAGATATTCCGTCAGCTGAAAGGTTAGTAAAAAAAAAAAAAAACCATGATTAAATATATAATACATAGTTAAATGTCATCAATGCAGAAATGTATTTACCTGCAGATTCATTATTAGAAATTAACCTACACCTAACATTATGCATCACGAGTGAATGAAATTTCTAATTCAAATAATGAGCTCCAGGATTGAATTGTGGATAGTTGACTATAACATGATTAAATAAATAAACATAATATTATTATGAATATTAAATAATTTTTTTATACTAGATGGAAACATGCGGAGGCCAGTATAAAATTGTACACTACGAATCGGGATTCAAAAGATACAAATATTGCGATCAAAATAAATGACGTTGTACGGGATATATTGGATCGATTTTCATCAGATCCGAAACGAAAATTAATTAAAAATAATAAAATAAAATAAAATACCAAATAATTTAATTGTAAAAATAATTTATTAAATATATAAATCATCACATTAACTATTAATAATTGAGGTTTATATAAAATAATGATGAATTGTTTATATTTATATTTTAATGATCATGTAATAAAGATATAATAACAATTAATTAATCCTGTTTCTGTTTTTTTTTTTTTTTTTACTATAATAATGATATAAATTCTACGGTAAGTATTAATGATATAAAGTTCAAAGAGAAAAAAAAAAAAAAAAATCTACACTAAATTTATTTTACGCCATTAATTCCTTTAAAATTATATCTGATAATGAATTATTGTAGAATTGAAGTATTTCATACATAAAACAACAATCATCGTTCTGTATACCATAAACGTTAAAATCAAAATTTTGAATATATTGGTTTGTAAAATCACTTCGCTGACAAGATGATGGTAGAATACTGATGTCTGCTTTAATTAATGAATACACTGTATCGAAAGTTGATTGATATGAAACCAACTTGTTCTGCTTTTCAACAATATGCGAATCGACACATTGTTGTAATTGTTTTAATCGGTGAAGGTCGGTATATGATAAGGTGATAAAATTATCATTAACAATCAATTTAATAGTAAACTGATTTAAATTAACTGAATAATATATGTTATCAGTTATTTTTATACGTTTACAATTAGTATGTAGATTATTAGTTATTGAACTATAATTGGTATCACACATTAGTGTATACCACTGTTGTAAATCCAGACTTATCATTTTTTTAGTAAAATTACATTGTAGTATTATAATAATAGAAATCATTTTATTAACCATCAATCCGACTGTTACACTTTTCTTGTTAAAAGGTCTGATATCGAATACTGACTTTGAAACAACAACTGGAATCATATTGTATTGCGACGTGTTCTTTTTGATATAAACGATTTCTGCTGAGTATTTCTTAAAACGTATAAAAATAAATATAACAACTTAACAAAACATGAATCACGGATGTCATTAACGCTTATATCGTTACAACACATATTTGAAAACTGAGGTTATAACTTGTTCAAGTTCTATTTGTGGCGCAGCTTTTCCAGACTGTAATAGTGTAATAGTTGTTATTATTTTAGAGGTTAAGTAATGTAATATAAAATTGTGTGATCTCAACAAATTCCTGGTGAAGACTTGTAACTTATTAATTTTTGAATGTTCCTAATAATTATGTATGTAAACCTTGTGTATTATAAAATAAATGCTGTTTTTCTCCTAAACAAATTATTCTGTAGTTCTATAATAAAATATAAGCTACTATTAATCTAATTATATTAAAATGAATATAAAAAACTAATGTGAACGTGAAATCAAATCAAATAACGTGTAGAGGGGGGTTAATATACTTACCTGATCCGTTAAACCTGGAAATTACATTTTAAACCCAGTATATTAAATTAAAACATGACTCGTTATTTCACTAGACAACAAGTTCACAGGGTATAAAATCAAATACTAACACATTTAAGCCTATAAATTCAATATTTATTTCGTAATGCGTGCACAAAATTTTTAAATATAATTAATGTAAGTTAACTAACAAGTGTTAAGACTAGAGTGGTTTGGACACACTTGGAGAGCAGATGGACTACTAATATAAAAAGTACTTGTTGAAAAAATTAACAAAACAAGACCCCTAGGAAGACCAAGTACCCGATGGATGTGATAACCAGACTTGAATGAGATAGGCCAAAATGTAAGTTTTGAGCTGACGTACAACAGAGATAGATGGCGAGACCTCTTGAAGGCAGCAATGGTCCTCAACGGACCGGTAAGCTGAGAAGAAGAAGAAGAAGAAACTAACAAGTGGTGTCATATGATTTAGACTGGTTACAATCGCAAACATGACCTGCTTTTACATATTCGTTTTTTACATTTTCTATAAATTCATTTCCCTTACATAGTAAAACAAATATACATTTAGGATTCCATTTTGCATGTTCAACCCACGGTATGTCATCATTTGTCCATTTTTGTAAAACAAGTCCACAGAAAAAACATTCAACTATATCTCCTACTCCTGTACAGAGGCGCAAACTAATTAAAATTATGGGGGGGCAAAACAAAAGTATTCAATACCCACCTATTAAAAAAAAAAATTTCACTGTGCTCACTTACATATAAATAATTATATTAAAATATATCAAATAAAAATATAATATAATATAGTTACATTGTGAGATAACAGTATTCACCAAATTTCTTTTAAAAGAATAACCATTAACTTGACTAAAATGTATTTTCAAAAAAGGCATAATAATAAATAAAACTAATACCTCATTTTTCAAATTTATTTTTATATTTTCATTTGATTATAAAAAAAGTATAAAATATTTGTATACAAAATGTTGATATCTAAAATCTTTATTTAAACATATATTTAGATATTTTCATATAGGTAGCACAATACTTTAATATATTATAATTAATTGTTTAGTAAATCAATGATTTTAAAAGAAAGGAACTGTTTTTTGAAAATATATCAATAACACTGTCAATATTGATATCAATATCTGATTCACACGATATTATCATTAATGCATCTAATCGGTCTTCTGTCATTGTGCTTCTTAATTTACTTTTAAGTATGGAAAGTTTTGAAAAACTCCGTTCCGTAGTGGCGCTAGCTAATGGCAAGGTTACTCCTATTTTAAGCGAAGTATATAGATGGGGAAATACTGTTGTTGGTCCACTTATTTTTAAGACTTGTAAAATTGTAGCCATACTGTTTCCATTAATAGGAAGTTCACAATTTTTTGTTTCTAGTTCTAAGTAGTCACAAGAACTTAATTCATCCGTTTTTTCAGCATCTGAATCGTTATCTAAAAATTTATCAATGCCATTATCATGCAACTTAAACGGCAAATATTTCTTTGTTTCAAAATTATAATAGCACTTGGAAAACTGAACATATTCTCTAATAAGATCATTTTTATTTATAAATTGTTTATACACTGTAGTGAAAACATCAAATGCATCTAATGGTAATTTTGTGTGATCATCTGCAACTTCTTTTAGACGACGTCGAGAAAAAAGTGATAAATCTTTACATAGGCCTGTGGAAATATCACTAAAACGCTCTTGGATTTGAATAAGAACTATATCTATAGCAACGTAGTAAGTGTTGACTTTGAAATTTAAAAGAGGATCATCAATAGGTTCATCAACAATATTTTCTCCGGGCATGCAAGGGACGCGTTTTCTGCGAGTTAAAGTTAATGGTTTAAATTCATCTGCACAAATCAAACTATTATTTTTAAATTCTTTTACTCTTTGTGTAATTTTAACAAATCCGTCTTCATTTCTGAGTTTTTTCAAATAATCAATACTTTTTAAAACAGACTCAGTAGCACCAAGTAAGTCCAGATCTTTTGCCTGAAGTATTTTACTTAAAGGGGATATTATATCAAAAATCTGAGTAAAAGTAAATGCAGTAAGCAAAAATCTATCAGATTTAATGTGCTCTGAAATACTTCTACCTTGATGAGAACTTTTACGGTCATTTGATCCAGCATTATTTTCTAATTCGTCCAATGTATCACAAAGCGCATCAAAAGTTAAAATTACTGTTCTCATAGCTAAATCGTGTGACCACCATCTCGTGGTTTCTACCCTTTTAAATCGCCTTATTTGTTTGTTTGGATACAATTTCTTTGAGTTTTTCTCAAATATTACTACCCTATTTTTACTTGACGAAATAAAATCATAAATTGTCTCTATTATTCCAAACATATCTCTAGCGTTAGAAGAGCAGCTTACAGCATCTGTAAGAACAAGATTTAGTCTGTGTGCATAGCACCATACATAAGTTGCTGCGGGATTATATGATTTTATTAAGGCTTGTAAGCCACCATAAGCACCTCTCATGTTGGAGGCTCCATCGTATGACTGCCCTATTAAATTTTGCTTCCAGTTGAGTCCATTTATTTCACAAATATTTTCAAAAACTGATAAAAGATGTTGGGCAGTTGTACTTGAACATTGTTTTATACTAAGTAACCTTTCATATACGCTACTAGTCTCTTCATTAAAATATCGAATAACAAAAGATAATTGTTCTTTTTTTGAATTATCAAAAGTAGTGTCCATGGACACACTAAACAATTTCCCATTTCTAACTTGATCAGAAATGTTCAAACGAATAAATTGAGCTGTAGCTTCAATTAACTGATTTTGTCGCAACCAAGAAATATAGTTAAATTTACATTTATTTTTATTATTTTTAATTCCATTTATATAAGTAGCTAAGACAGGAGAATACTTTGCTAATAGCATAACTAGATCCTTAAAATTCCCTTGGATTTGATTTAGAGATGTTTTCCAATTTTCTCTGTGTCCTCTAAAGGCTAAAGAGTGCCTGGCTAAATATACAGTGATATCAATCAATTGACTAACAATTAGTCTATTAGTAGCAATTTCTTTATTTTTCGATTCTTCTAGAGCAGGCAGTAATGGAAGACATTCAAACATTAATTTTAATTGAAGACTAGCTTCAACATGTCGATAGGAAGTCTCGTGTAAAATAAACTTGGAAGTAGCTTTTTTCCATGAGTTAAAACCATCCGTAGTCCATGAATTCTTTTCTCCGGTCAACATACAAGGCATGCAATAAACTTTGTTTTCACTTACAGAGTATGTAAGCCAGTCTCGTTTGATAACAGTTCCGTCTTGCATACTTTTAGCAAACCATTCTGGTCTAAAATGTCTTCCATTATTCAATGGAAATATATAGTTTTTTATTTCTCCGCTATTTGGCTGACAAGGACCATTTTTTAAAATCAACTTTTTTAACTTATATGACAAAGGGAAGAGCATTTTTATTTTGGCAGGATCTTTAGTGTATATAATAGCAAAATCATTATCATCTTTTTTGTCATCTTCATTGTTTTTGTTAAAATCTAGAATTGAAAATCAAATTTTAACTATATGAGCTTAAAATTTCTAAACATGCCTGATATCTAAATTGATAATTGTCTTATCAAACATACTCATCATATAACTTTTAATTATTATTATGAACAGTTGACTGAAACTTTATTTAGAATCTTAAAGATATATATTATATAAATATATAAAAAAAAGGTTTAAAAAAACTTTTAACAAATTGTGATTTTGTGTGAAATTTTTGTTTGTTAGTGACAAAAATTAACTATAATAAAATTATAATGTAATTGTATATCTGAATTTTTAAATTATCTTTCAAAGAAATAATGTTAAGTTTTAAAATTATCAAAATTTTTTTGGCTTTATAGACCTTGTTAAAATAATAAAATGCAATAAATTATATTATAATATTAACCATACTTATTATAAAAATATATTTATATATTATATTTTATTTTATATTTTTGATGTGACTTTTATATTTTATGCAGCGGAAGCATTAGTAACTAGTATGGTGAACTTGGATTTTAGATGCATTCATTTAGAGTAAATTAAGTATAGATTCATGATTTTGGTTAGAGTTGTAAAAGATATCTAAATACAATTTATTGAGTAACTTGCCTAGTGTTGCTTATTTAACATTTACTTACATACCTATTTTATCAGTATCATATATTTCTAAAGGATTTTCAGGATTGACTACAGTATCAACCACATTGTTCTTTTCTAAGCATCCTTCATGCTTAGCTGTAGCAGTATCTGAGAATAAAAATATAAAATGTATTTCAAAAGGCTAAATAATATAATATCATGGTAACAGATAACATAACGCTGTACTCTATTTATTAGTCTTATAATATATAATATTAACTATTCTTTTTAATTAATGACTAACTGACAAAGTAGTTAAAAAAATAATTTACCTGCAGTGTCATTGTAGCAAATTGTATGTATTGTAGTTAATGGCAATGTAGGAGTTACATACTGAACTATATTATTAAGCCCAACTATAAATTTAAAAAAAATATTAGTATAAAAATTAAAACTGTTTTAAAGTGTTTATATTAAAAATTTTAAATACCTATTTTATCAGTATCATATATTTCTAAAGGATTTTCAGGATTGACTACAGTATCAACCACATTGTTCTTTTCTAAGCATCCTTCATGCTTAGCTGTAGCAGTATCTGAGAATAAAAATATAAAATGTATTTCAAAAGGCTAAATAATATAATATCATGGTAACAGATAACATAACGCTGTACTCTATTTATTAGTCTTATAATATATAATATTAACTATTCTTTTTAATTAATGACTAACTGACAAAGTAGTTAAAAAAATAATTTACCTGCAGTGTCATTGTAGCAAATTGTATGTATTGTCGTTAGTGGCAATGTAAGAGTTACATCCTGAACTGCATCACTCAGCCCAACTACAAATTAAAAAACTATATTAATACCATAATTTAAGTTTTTGAAGTTTTTCAGATGATCGTATATATGCCTATAGATCCATAGGGTAAAAATAAAGTTATTTACTTACTACAGAGATGTTTTTTTTTTGTTGAAATATCGGTTGACGAAGATCTTTTGAAATAAGATGATATACTTTTATTTGCACATGAACTATTTAATTTAATAACTTTACAAGTTGTTTTGTGTCTAGTCCAGTTGGTGTCATTTAAAGCACCTTTCTTTTTACCACACAAACACATTAAATCTGCTGACATATTGAAACGCACAGACACAGTTCAACAATAAATTTTAAGTTAAAATAATAAAACCCAAATAATGCAATATAATAAAATATTGATGCACATCTTAATATATAAAATGGTAAGGTCCCGGAGTCTTTTCCTCCCGGAACGAAAGACCACTATTTCTTTTCTTCCACGAGCGTTCGCTTCCCGGCCAATGGGAGCGCGAAAAAATATCGACGCGTAGTCGTTTTGAAATATCGTCTTCGCCTCATCGCCGGGATTGTTTCAAAACTTTTGCTTTTCGAGTTCCGTTCGCCTTTCTTCGTGCCCAATTCTCACACTTCGAAATCGCTTTTACAGACAGAACCAAAGTCGTCGAACGGAGCCTTACACTTACTGTTTTGTCCTTCTCTCGGTTAAATATATCGAATGAAACAGGACTGTTCTTCGACGGTCAGGTCCATATCGATCGTATAATTCTGTGACTGTGGAACGTCCGGTTGCGATATATTAAATTAAAAATTATTGGGCGATTTCGATGAGATCAACACACAATCCTGTGGTTGGATTTCAAGAAATCTACTCGAAAACCCAAAATATGTAATATGTAATAAATAAAAGACAATATTTTAGTGCTCGATGCTGTGATATAATATCGGATTTCACAATTAATACACTCTGAGTTGAATGAGTACGTTCAATTGTATATTGCTTATATATTAAATAAATTAACTATTTATTTGATGCAGAACCGTATACATGTGTACTATTACGCATAATAATAGCAATACAAATATTTTAGTTTTTTTACAACAACAGAAATTGCTATGTATTTACATCTATTTTGTTAACTATATGCAATAAAAATAATGGCCATATCCTACGGATTTCATCGGTTAAACATTGCTTATTGCAGTATTCGCTTATGAATACAAACGGCTTAAATGCTCAAATTTTTCCGTCTGTCAGCATCTGAGTAGGTGTCCCGTAGGTTTAGGCGTTAGGTTAAAGTCGTAGGGTAGGCGAGTTCGAACCCCGGCGGCGGATGTATCGACGCCGTCGTTACCACGGCAGCCCTATGCTGTAGCATGGCCGCCCGGATTTTTTGCATTTTTTTTTCCGGTTTTTTTTACATGATTTTTCCAAGTTCCAATGATTATTTCATTGTTATCTCCATTATTATTGTAAACATAATCTTCGTGGTGCTTACATTATGAAATAATTTCAAAAATACTTATACCTACTACCGTCTATCCGTATGATTAGAATATCTTTGGTTTATCATGCCGAATATCATTACCTACTTGCGATCTTCATTTTCTATACATTATGTGTGTATAATGTAGGTAAATACAACCAATTAGTTGAGTTTCACTCATAGACGCTGAACGGAGGGTCTGCGATCCGACGAAGTCGGATTGCCTACGTAGCTGGCTAACTTGAATGTTAAACGATTTTCACTTGAGGTGACGGACTTGCTAGACATTCCAACTCAGTTTTCGAATTTACATTTTTATTACATACGAAAAAGCAAAGGACATGCGACGGGGAACCGTGTTATTCAATTGCCGATTTTCGTGGGTAAAGTGAAATTTCAAACATTCCCGCGCTCGAAACGAGATCTCTAAGACTTATCAAAAATCGTTATCACCTCCTAAATTTTTGTTTTTTAACTACCCATGACGTCAACAGGAGTGACTTCTAAAAGTAATTTCAACGACATTGACGTCTGCATCGCCGACTCTCACAAGCTCCCGAGTTTCAGGACAGCGAGTTTCACAAGCAACTAGTAAGTGATAAACTGATAACTAATAAGTAACAGACAACAGTAAACAGAAAGTGTTAATAATTAAATATAACAACTCAACATCCAATGTATTGTATCCCATTACAATCAATGTCGTGCCACACCGTCCACAACAAGAGTTGGAATATTTTGCGATATCAGTTCTATTTATAGATGAAGTACTGTTTATAATAACAGAAACATACACAAGCCATGATAAAAGAATTTATCATGATACAAACTATGTATTATCAAATTATCAATACATTGGTGCACACTGTTTATGTTTTATTCTGTTACGTTGTTACGTACTTCAAGTCGCCAATTGATTTTATCACAGTATAATATAATATTTAAGTTTTAATATTAATGTTTTCATTATAATAACCAATAGGTTCAACGTTGTACCTACCTAACACAGTCACGCAGAACATTGTAAATTACGTAGTATAAGTGTATTGATGCATGCTTATTGTAATGTCTGAAAATTGACCATCGAGTATCAATCAATTGACCACCTACATACCAAATGAAGGGGGGCAGTTGCCCCCCCCTGCACCCCTAGATTTGCGCCTCTGCTCCTGTAGTCCTGTATATCTGAAACCAGATTCAGATAATGTATATTTATTTTGACACGAAGTGGATGGAAAAGAATTATATGATTTTAATCTCGATAAAAATGTTGTAGAATCTGAATAGACTGGATAAGAATTATTTCGCACCAAATAAACTAAAGATGGAAAATCGATTGAAAATTTCTGTAAATTCATGGTTTTTGATAAAACTGAAAATATTTAATCGTAAAATTCAATAAGATAATTTGTCGGAAAAATAAAAAATAAAACACAACTTGATTGATCAACGGTTCATAAAAAACTAACTAAATATTTTAAATTAATTATGTATTATTTAACATCATGTCTGGCAATTAATAATGTAACTGGTTAAACATTTAAATTTTTATTTTGAAATTACAGGGAGATTGGATGCATTGTAAGGGAAATTTGTTCCCTTGATTTTTTTTCATCTCCCTGTAAAAATGGAGCCAAAATCCCCAAACACATACTACTTACCTGGAAGAGCACAATCTTCTGGAAATTTGAACACACCGTTTAAAATTTGTTGCCCCATGGTAGATTTTAAAAAAATACCGCTATCTCCTTCTCTTCCGTATGATCCGACATCGATTGCTACATATTTGTAATTTGCATCGACCATTGCCAATAGCACAATCGAAAAATATTCTTTGTAATTGAAAAACAAAGAACCTGAATTATTGGGACAACGGATTCGGACATGTTTTCTATCAATTGCGAGAATGCAATTAGGAAAGTTCCACTTTGTCCAAAATTCATCTGCCTCGGTTTTAAAATCAATCATATTTGGATCTGGTAAAAAAAGTGGCATTAAATGTTGTTTTAAAACTGCCACTGTTTCTTTTACGATAATACTGATATAACTATAGGATATACGAAATGCAAATGCCAATGGACGAAAAGATTCCCCGGTAGCTAGGTATCTGAAAAAAAAATAAACTGAAGTTTAATATTTTCAAATCACTCTGTATTCTGCAGGAACACATTGTATACGTATTTAAGAAAAGGTTATTATTAAAATAGTATTAAAATAATTATATCAGAATACCTACTATAGTAAATTTAGTATTTTAGGAATATTATTGTATATATTGTTTATATAGGGTAATATTATTTTATATTATTATAGACGATTGACAACGAAGTCATTTCGGGGACAAAATAAATACCAACACACTGTTCAGAATCTAAAATAAAACTTCTAGCTAACTTGTAAATAAAATAACCGAATGTGTATATCAGAGTTGGGCTAAATTTTATCTTGATAATTATTCGAATAATAATGGTTTGAAATTATTCGAATAATTTTCAAACATAAATCATAATTTACTAATTACTAGTAAAAAATATTTATTGTACAATGATTTTAATTATTTGTTATAATTATAAATTTTAATTTTTTCTCTAATTATTTATTTTCATTGTTGTTATTTACTACGTTTATATGATGGCGTTAAAACGGTTTAAAAAATGAAAACCGTTATAAAAGTTAAAACGCTCGCACAGTGTAGTTAAAGAAATGTTTTATTTTTACAATATTTACAAACTGTTCGAAGGAACAATAAGCAAATTTGATAATAGATTATATAACATGAGTAGGGAACGGATTTTATTGCAATAAAAAAAATCAATATATTATGTACATATATATAATGTACCATTTTTTCTTAAAATATGGAATAAAAAATTCAAAATATATAAAAATCTAAAATATATATTAGTATTAAAAGATTACAAAAAAATCCAGAATTTTTTACAATTACCTATAGCGGCATGTTAGAAATTAGTACGTAAATGCCATTTAGATAACATATAATATTTGGAGGTCGTCAAAATTTTTTGAAAAAACGTATAATATTAATTATTGTCGTCAAAAATCAATAAAAAAAAAAATAAAAACATATGATAAAATATGTAAAAATATGCACTTTTTTTACCAAATATGTAAAAATATGTATTAATAACAAAATATGTTACAATATATAAAATACATTTGAGTTTATTTAAATTAGAATGATCTAAATTGTATACATTTTTTATCAGATTTAAAATACCTCATGCCAATAAATTAGAATATGTGTTTACAATAAAATCCGTTCCTTAAACTTGAGTAATATGACGGAAGAAGCCACCCATTGATGGCGCTTCCTATTTTGAAAATTTAGCTGGGAATATACCTAATACAATTTTATTCGAATAACGCCCAATTCTGCCGTAGGTACATTTATTGACCTATACAAAATAACATTCATATTTACCTCAAAGTAACTGCCAATTTTTATTCAGCTATTATTGGTTCATGCCATCGCATTGTTGGTGTCTTTTGCATTTGATTTTTTATCAAAGATAAAACAAAATAAAATTGTCGATGATTTAAACGAAAAAACTCGCGAAATTTAATATCAGTAGCAAGATGTCCTTTGATTAATTTTTCAAAAAATCCTTCCGATTTTCTTGTCAAAAATAAATTTGATATTGGTTTTCTTCTTTTATTTCTTGTATGCACTAACAATTGATCATCTTCTTCTTCCTCTTTTAACAGCTCCAACATAATTTTATTATTATTCAACATTATTTGACGATACATTTTAAAAAAATTATAAAATAAAAGAAAAAAGAAAAACACATTCGCACAGGACCACAGTTGAACTATGAATGATATTACGAGTGTTTTGTAAGAGTCGCGGCAACTGCACGCTACAGAGAAAACGGTGAGTCTCGACGTCTGGAAACCGCGTTCGGTTGCATCTGGACGCCGCGACTGAACGCTGCAGAGAAAACGTACCTTTACTCCTCGTCAATCCACCACTCTGTCCTGCAACTTGTTTTATAAGATTGTAATTGTTATTTAATGTATGCTCTTTGTTTTGTCTTTTGTGTTATAATCATTGTTCGTTCGTTGGTCTCGCGATTATCAATGTTATTGTTTTGATTTTCGAGATATCTTTTATGCGGCCAACGCCCTATTATTATTATTTTTTTTCGTATTATTATTGCCATCGTACTGTCTGCTAGCTGCGGACGCCCTGTTCTTTTCGTTACCTTTTAACTTGTTGATCTGCTATTAAAGCGATCATCCGTTTTTTACTATGTATCATTATGTGTAACTCGCTAATAAAGCGAACACCAATTATGTATCATCACTCAATCAAATATAATTTGAACTGATCAATTATTGAGTCGTAAGATTTTATTTATTTTATTATCGCTGCCGTCAAACTCGGCATTTCGTATTTATTATCACTGTTTTCGCCGATGCCGATCCTATGATTACTGGGGGAGAACTTGCCGGACACTAAGGCCGATCGCACACCAAAAGAGCAAAACTGCGTTAGACAGGGTTAGTCAGCCTAACACAGTTTTGTTAAAAATAGAACAAAGGAAATTATATTGCATACGCACACTGATTAGACATAGTCAAAACAAAACGTTTTTGCTTTAAAACACAATTAGTCATGACTGATACTGTCTGAGTGTCCACATTTTTCGTTAGTCACAACTAGACAATAAATAATTATTCGTGTGAATTTTGTATTTCGTATAATATATTTTTAATAATATTTTTTGTATACTTATCACATAATGGCTTGTGATGGAGAAATACTTGTAAGTTTAGTGGAAAAAAGACCATCCATTTATGATTTTGGAGACAAGGACCATAGCAATAGAATTGTGCAAGACAAGTTATGGGAAGAAATAAGCCAAGAAATGAATGTTGATGGTAATTTGAATATATAATCACACCTAAACTAACCTAAGTTATATAAGTTACTGAATTATTATATTTTAGATAAAACAATATATTTAAATTATAAATTATTGTAAATAATAATTAATACTAATATAAAAATATTAATACAATATTAATTTTATACCTACTGTCGTATTAATTACATATGAAATTCCAAATTGTATACTTGTACGGAGTTGAAAACATTATCAACATTATTGTATTTAAACAAGTAGTAATACTAGTAAGGGCAAGTAAAATGGAATTTCATGAATACTATAAAATGGTATATTTATTAATAAATGTGTAAAACTCTTTACCACACAACAGTATTTTTTTTATTAAAACAAACAAATTTAGCTTAGTTATTTAAACACTAAACAGTGTATACATTTTGCCATGGAACTGATCCGTATTCAGAGTTGAAATATTTCATAAACTTTTCACGGATATCTATAGCTTCTCTTGGTGGTCTGCGATTAGTAGGTTTGTTGGTATCTTCCTGGTTTACCCGTGATGAGGTTGTTTCCATTTCATTATGAATGTCAGTTAAATTATGTTCTTTGTCCATGATTAAATTGTGAAGTACACAAGCAGCTTGAGTTATGATTGTAGCTTTCTCCGGATTAACTAACATTTTATTTTCAAATACGTTAAATCTTTTTGTTAGAATACCAAAAGCACACTCTACTATTCTCCTCGCTCGTGATTGACGATAGTTATAAATTCGTTTCGAATTTGTCAACTGCTTTCTTGCAAATAGCTTCATCAAATTTTTTTTTAACAGATACGCTTCATCCGCAACAAAAACAAATGGAAATTCATATTCAACTTCTTCATGAATTTGTCTCGGTGGAGGTAAAAGTAGTTTATTATTGTCCAATAGTTTTCCAAAATTTGATTCTTTTAAAATTCCTCCATCACTGTTACGACCGAAATCACCTACATCTATGAATATAAATTTTGCGTTGGCGTCAACTACTGCTTGAAGAACAATAGAATGGTGTCCTTTATAATTGTAATAACTAGATCCTGAATTTGGTGGACATTGAATAGCTATATGTTTACCATCTATGGCACCTACGCAGTTAGGAAAATTCCAAAATTTGGCAAAGTCTTTTTCAATGTTCAACCAACCATCAGTCGAAGGTAGAGGCATAAACTGTGGCGATAGTATTTTCCATAATGAACAACATGTATCATTGACAATCTTACCCGCAGTAGTAGCTCCTAATCTAAGATTATAATGGATGCGTTGAAAATGTTCACCAGAAGCCAAAAAACTAAAAATAAATGTTTAAAAAATAAATTAAAAACGATTCTGAACGGAGACGATCTGTGAGTCAGGGTATTATATCATATCGTTAATTTACGAGCGAATTTTTAAATTTTCATTATAATAAAAATTCAAAATTTAAATGATCCTAAAAATTTTTTAAGCGACTTACACTCGATTTTTTTTATAATTATTGTAAGCAAAATGTATGGACAACCTGAAAGCCACTGAATGATTTTGTGATATGTTTGTATTTTTGTTTTTATAGTGTCGGTATGCAAAAGTAAGTGGACTAGTCTTCGCAATTCGTTTGCAAGGGAACTTCGTGAACTCAAAAATAAAAAA